CTCAGACAAGGACAGGAAGGGGAAATCTGTAAACTATCCCGGAGTTCAGCTTAGAGTGTCAGCTCTTTAGTCCAGTACTGAGAATACAATTCTATCTTCCTTACCTAAAAATACAAAAAAAAGGTACAAAAATAACCCTCTTCAGGCCCCACAGAGCCCGCCATTCCAAGAAAATACTATTCTGTCATCGTACAAAGGGCGGTAAAAATACGGCGGGCGCCATTTCTACAAATGTAAAGGACTCTCTCTTCAAAAATAGAATATTTCATATAGAAATCCAAAAGGGTTCCTTCTAGAGCAGCCTTCCCCAACTCGGGGTCCTCCGGAGGATTCGAGGGGTTCAACGAGCACTGAGACTGAACTCCCACTGACCACGTGAGGGGTTACTTCTACATGGACCACCAATGTCAGGGGGGTAGTTCCCCTCTGACCACCAATGTAAGGGGGCATTTCCACTCTAACCACAACCATGTGGGGGGTACATCTCCAATGACTACCAATGTAGGGGGAATACCTCCACTGACCACCAATGTAGGGGGAATACCTCCACTGACCACCAATGTAGGGGGGTAATACCTCCACTGACCACCTAATGTAGGGGGAATACCTCCACTGACCACCAATGTAGGGGGTATATCTCCACTGGTCACCAATGTAGGGGGTATATCTCCACTGGTCACCAAGTAGGGGGGTACATCTCCACTGACCACCAATGTAAGGGGGTATTTCCACCAACCACAACCAAGTAGGGGGTACATTCCACTGACCACCAATGTAGATGGGTATATCCCCTCCACTGGCCACCAATGTAGGGGGGCATTTCCCCTCTGACCACAAATATAGAGAGGTAAATTTCCACTGACCACCAATGTGTGTGGGAGGGGGGTACATCTCCACTGACCACCAATGTGTGGGGGGTTACATCTCCACTGACCACCAATGTGGGGGGTATATCTCCACTGACCACCAAATGTGTGGGGGGTTACATCCACTGACCACCAATGATATCTCCACCACCAATGTGTGGGGGGGACCACCAATGTGGGGGTATACCTCCACTGACCACCAATGTGACCACCAATGGGGGGGTATACCTATGACTCCACATCTCCACAGACCACCAATGTGGGGGGTATACATCATCCCACTGACCACCAATGTGGGGGGTATACCTCCACTGACCACCAATGTGGGGGGTGATCGCTACAATTTTCTGGCCAATAACCTTCCTTCATTTTCATAGATCATATTGATGTACGGGGGAGGGGGAGGGGGGAGGGGGGGTGGTAATCAGCTCTGGGTGAAAAAAAAAGACTGAAAAAATTCTATACTGAGAAAAGTAAAAAAAAAAAAAAAGTCTAACCCCCCCGATATAAAAAGGTATAACAAGCGATACATCTGAAATGATGACCTCCACCTTCCCGTGAACTGATCATTATATAGCGGGGGGTTCCCTGAGATGATGAAATTGCGGGGGGGCTCCTCCGGGGCGGGGCGGCTGGGAAAGGCTGCTCCAGGCTTCGGACTAAACAAGAAGTTCAGGAAAGGATATAAAAGGATTAGAGAAGGGGGGGAGGGGGGTTCCACCCCCAGTTTAGAGCGTTTAGTGTTTTAGCGGATCAGTAAGTACCGACTTCCTCTCCTCCCAGATCTACAAATACAAATTAGTATAAAAACGAGTTATAGCCCCAAAATGTCTGTAATAAAAGATGAAATGGGTGTGGCCGGGGTGAGCGGGGGAGGGGTTAGTGTTGGTGCCTGCACCTCTCTGTACACAATTTAATATAAACCATATGAAAAAAAGTATTCTTACAGCAGGAGGGCGAGCGGCGGGGAATTGTACGCGTTCCGTGAAATGGTTCCGTGGTTGGATGCCGGTGAGATCGCAGCGACGGGGACCGGCCTCCTCCCAGTCATGAGGTCGCTAAGGCGAGGGCGCCGTCACAAGTCTGTAGGCGGGAAACAAGATGGCCGGCGTTGGCGTGAGGGCGCGGTCTGCGCTCGGTGCGTCATGTCCTGTGCTCTGCTGCGACTCGATGTATGGCACAGCCAGACGTCCCTCAGGGTGTGGCTTCTGGAACACGCGCTGGCTCCGCCCATGGCACCGGGAAGCTTCGTGTGCGCTGCAGCTCAGGAGATTCTGGTACGTCGTCGCACTGTGGGGTCAGGTGACCTTGTATGCTGTGTTCTGATAGGACGTCGGTCTGTGAGGTCATGGTGACCTTGTGTGCTGTGTTTCTGATAGGACGTCGGTCTGTGGGGTCAGGTGACCTTGTATGCTGTGTTCTGATAGGACGTCGGTCTGTGGGGTCAGGTGACCTTGTATGCTGTGTTCTGATAGGACGTCGTACTGTGGGGTCAGGTGACCTTGTATGCTGTGTTCTGATAGGACGTCGGTCTGTGGGGTCAGGTGACCTTGTATGCTGTGTTCTGATAGGTTGTCATACTGTGAGATGTCAGGTGACCTTGTATGCTGTGTTCTGATAGGACGTCATACTGTGGGGTCAGGTGACCTTGTATGCTGTGTTCTGATAGGACGTCGCACTGTGGGGTCAGGTGACCTCGTATGCTGTGTTCTGATAGGACGTCGTACTGTGAGGTCATGTGACTTTGTATGCTTTGTTCTGATAGGACGTTGGTCTGTGGGGTCAGGTGACCTTGTATGCTGTCGTCTGATAGGTTGTCATACTGTGACTGGTCAGGTGACCTTGTATGCTGTGTTCTGATAGGACGTTGGTCTGTGGGGTCAGGTGACCTTGTATGCTGTGTTCTGATAGGACGTTGGTCTGTGGGGTCAGGTGACCTCGTATGCTGTGTTCTGATAGGACGTCATACTGTGGGGTCAGGTGACCTCGTATGCTGTGTTTCTGATAGGACGTCATACTGTGGGGTCAGGTGACCTTGTATGCTGTATTCTGATAGGACGTCGTACTGTGGGGTCAGGTGACCTTGTATGCTGTATTCTGATAGGACGTCGTACTGTGGGGTCAGGTGACCTTGTATGCTGTATTCTGCTGTATTTTGATAGGATGTCGTACTGTGGGGTCAGGTGACCACGTATGCTGTGTTCTGATAGGACGTCATACTGTGGGGTCAGGTGACCTCGTATGCTGTATTCTGATAGGACGTCGTACTGTGGGGTCAGGTGACCTCGTATGCTGTGTTCTGATAGGACGTCATACTGTGGGGTCAGGTGACCTTGTATGCTGTATTCTGATAGGACGTCATACTGTGGGGTCAGGTGACCTTGTATGCTGCGTTCTGATAGGATGTCGTACAGTGGGGTCAGATGACCTCGTATTCTGTGTTCTGATAGGACGTTGTACTGCAGGTCAGGTGACTTTGTATGCTGTGTTCTGATAGGACGTCGTACTGTGGGGTCAGGTGACCTTGTATTCTGTGTTCTGATAGGACGTTGTACTGCAGGTCAGGTGACTTTGTATGCTGTGTTCTGATAGGACGTCGTACTGTGGGGTCAGGTGACCCTGTGTGCCATGTTCTGATAGGACGCTGTTCTGTGGACAGGTGACCTCGTGTTCTCATAGGATAGCACCCTGCAAGGATCCCGTCCTTCTAGCCGGTGACGGGGGGATCCGCCTTCCAAGAAATCTGTTCAAAAGAATGGAGAGAAATGAAAGCTGAACCCCAGGCAGGCAGAAGACACACAATGCAGCCCTGGACTTCCCCACACACCGCAGTGACATCAGCCTCATGCAGCACAGCAGAGCTCAGACGGGGAGAGGGAGAAGCAGCACAGGGAGACCACGCTGAGAGAGGGGATCTGCAGCCGGCAGAAAAAGCATTCAATCATGTGACGGCTGAGATTGGCTGTTGAAGCAGTCACATGATTGAGATCCGACTCCCGATCCTAAATGGTGACTGGGAGGAGAGGGGAGAGGAGGCGGCCAGCAGGGTCTGTAGATGGGGAGGGGGAGAACTGCAGAACAGGAGGGGGAGGAGCCAGCAGGGACTGTAGATGGGGGAGAACTGCAGGACAGGAGGGGGAGGAGCCAGCAGGGACTGTAGATGGGGGAGAACTGCAGGACAGGAGGGGGAGGAGCAGGCCAGCAGGGACTGTAGATGGGGGAGAGCTGCAGGACAGGAGGGGGGAGGAGGTGGTCAGCAGGGACTGTAGATGGGGAGAACTGCAGGACAGGATGGGGGAGGAGGTGGTCAGCAGGGACTGTAGATGGGGGAGAACTGCAGGACAGGATGGGGGAGGAGGTGGCCAGCAGGGACTGTAGATGGGGGGAGAGCTGCTGGACAGAAGGAGGGAGGAGCCAGTCAGCAGGAGCTATAGATGGGGGAGAGCTGCAGGACAGGAGGGGGGAGGAGGTAGTCAGCAGGGACTGTAGATGGGGGAGAGCTGCTGGACAGGAGGGAGGAGCCAGTCAGCAGGAGCTATAGATGGGGGAGAGCTGCAGGACAGGAGGGAGGAGGAGCCATTCAGCAGGGACTGTAGATGGGGGAGAGCTGCAGGACAGGAGGGGGGAGGAGGCCAGCAGGGACTGTAGATGAGGGAGAGCTGCAGGAGAGGAGAAGGCGGCCAGCAGGGACTGTAGATGAGGGAGAGCTGCAGGAGAGGAGAAGGCGGCCAGCAGGGACTGTAGATGGGGGAGAACTGCAGCACAGGAGGGGGAGGAGGGCCAGCAGGGACTGTAGATGGGGGAGAACTGCAGCACAGGAGGGGGAGGAGCCGGCCAGCAGGGACTGTAGATGGGGGAGAGTAGCAGGGACTGTAGATGGGGGAGAGCTGCAGGACAGGAGGGGGAGGAGCCGGCCAGCAGGGACTGTAGAAGGGGGAGAGTAGCAGGGACTGTAGATGGGGGAGAGCTGCAGGACGGGAAGGGGAGGAGCCGGCCAGTACGGACTATAGATGGGGGAGGAGCCGGCCAGTATGGACTATAGATGGGGGATTAGATGATAGATTTTGGTTTTTGGGCCAAGTGCATCCTGAATTTTCGGTTTTGGAAATTTCATACAAAAAATGTTTCTTTTTTTCACACAACTTTATGCGTTGTCAGTGTGAACACGGGGACAGGGACATACCTGGCTTTAACTGGGCAGCCAGCTCTGGTTGTTGCTCTGGTTGGTACCGGGGTGTAGGGATCGAAGTTGAAGTCCAGGCCGCCTTCGTCCATCAGCTCGTTGTTGATGATGTAGTCCACGTCACATTCCAGGTTCTCGAGGAACATGTCAATGTCCAGATCGATGGGAAGACGTTCCGAGACGGCGGGAAATGAGTGTGGCCTGGGGAGCGGCACAGAGGGCGCCAGAGGAAGCCCCAACAACGGGAGATTATTTGGTGGTGTCGGAGCGTTCAGAGGGACCCCTGGGTGCTCGGGGCTTCTGAGTTTGTTCTGACCGCCCAGGAGAAGTAAATTCTGCCCGCCGCTCTGAGCCAGCACCGGGTCCACCTGACTCATCAGCACATTGCTGGGTGGAGGGGAGTCCGAGGTCAGAAGGGCTTCCAGAGTCTGAGGTCGCGGGAAATGGCCGGAACTCGGCACCGGAGAGACGTCAACCGGACTGAACAGAGAATTACCAAAGGAGAGAGGCTGGGGAGGGCGCATGGAGAAGCTGGGAGGTGTCGGTAACATAGACTGTGGCGCGGTTGGTAAGGGAGCCCCCGACGACAGCATGGTCAGCCCATCGATAAGTTCCAGCTCCTCAGAGACGGTTGGTGGGACGCTATCGGAAAAGCTCAGCGAGGAGTGGAGGTCGTCCTCCGCCGCGTCGTCCTGTTCGGTCAGGATGGGGGACAGCCGAAGGCTGAGATTACTGGCGTTGGAACCCGTGCGAGACCGGAAGCTGGTCCATACGTCGGGATCGTCCGTGCTGTTCGAGGGACTGCCGGGCCATTTGGAGGACTGGGAGCTGGGACTTCCGGCGGGAGGTTCTCCGGGACCCTGGGCCTTCTTCTTCGATACTTTATTACGGGCTTTTGCAAGTTTGCTGCTGTTGTCCATGGAGGCGGCTCTGCGACGCGGCGCTTTCCCGCTCTTTCCGCCCTCCGGGTTCAGCATCCACCAGGAGCTCTTCCCGGTCGCCTCGTTGTGCACCTTTATGAACTTGCTGTGTAGGGACAGGTTGTGGCGGATCGAGTTCTGGAGAAGAACAGGAAAAAGACAATCAAATACACCAAACAGAAAGACAATCAAACCGATACATTGTTACAGAAATCCGCAGAATACCAAATACTTCCTTCAGACACCTTTATTTCCATCAATATCTTCCTATGACCACACCCCAGGCAGTTCAGTGGACCCCACCCCAGGCAGTTCAGTGGCCCCACCCCAGGCAGTTCAGTAAACCTACCCCTAGCAGTTCAGTGACCCCACCCCAGCAGTTCACTGGACCCCACCCCAGGCAGTTCAGTGGACCCCACCCCAGGCAGTTCAGTGGACCCCACCCCAGGCAGTTCAGTGGACCCCACCCCAGGCAGTTCAGTGACCCCACCCCTAGCAGTTCAGTGACCCCACCCCTAGCAGTTCACTGGACCCCACCCCAGGCAGTTCACTGGACCCCACCCCAGGCAGTTCAGTAAACCTACCCCTAGCAGTTCAGTGACCCCACCCCAGCAGTTCACTGGACCCCACCCCAGGCAGTTCAGTGGACCCCACCCCAGGCAGTTCAGTGGACCCCACCCCAGGCAGTTCAGTGGACCCCACCCCAGGCAGTTCAGTGGACCCCACCCCAGGCAGTTCAGTGGACCCCACCCCAGGCAGTTTAGTGACTCCACCCCAAGCAGTTCAGTGACCCCACCCCAGGCAGTTTAGTGACTCCACCCCCAGCAGTTCAGTGACCACACACCTACCAATGTCCTCGCAACAAAGAAGTATCAATCCGCTAACAAAAAGATTGAACCCTTTAACTGCCGCGGCCAGAGACACTCGCAACTGGGAGCTGGCCCTTTAAAGTGATCTTAATGCTGGAGGGTGGTAGGAGGGGCTTGTAATCATGTGATCACTACATCAGGCTGTCACTCTGATCAACAGCTTGTCCTACCAGCTCCCAGCCATTGCTAGGTGACGGGGTGCTCAGGTGACAACGCAGTCAGTGCCAAGGCGCTCCCCACGCCGGCGCACCTCCCGCGCCTAGGCGCTCCCGAGAGCGGCGCACCTCCCGCCCCTAGGCGCTCCCGAGAGCGGCGCACCTCCCGCCCCTAGGCGCTCCCGAGAGCGGCACACCTCCCGCGCCTAAGCGCTCCCGAGAGCGGCACACCTCCCGCCCCTAGGCGCTCCCGAGAGCGGCACACCTCCCGCGCCTAGGCGCTCCTGTTCTGTTTCCTCATAGCTGAACATTTGCAGTGTGAGATCATCTAAGGTACTGCACCCTCTGACTGCTGGTCTCACCATATTTGGGGTGAGATTTGGTGATGTCACTACTGTGCTGCTCCTTGCTGGATGGGAAGCTGTACCTGAGGAAATGTAGTGGAAGGATCTCCCAGCTTCTACTTCCACCATTCTGTGGATCTGTGCTCCCTCCTCACCTCTATCATCACCCCACCAGTCTTCAGGAGGGCAGCTCTGAGATGAGGAAGCAAAGCCCTGCCCCTACCAAGATGGCTGCCTCCACACAAAGACACAGTACAGAACAAGGCATGGCGAGTCAGAAATGGGGGAGATCAGTTGCAGGGAGACCACAGACTACTGGTGACTGGTCCTCTGCCCTGGAACTAATGCAGTTAAATCACAATCACCTTCCCACCTCCCAGACACGTCTACAGCACATGAGGACTCAGGCGAGGTCCCGGCTATCGCTTTGCAGAACTTTCCTCCAAGTTTCTGTTGTGCCAGGACATGAGAAGAAATCTACCAGGACAGGAAGTGGAGGTAAAGATACAACACGCCGGTCCTCACCGGGACAGGAAGTGGAGGTAAATATACAATGCACCAGTCCTCAGCGGGACAGGAAGTGGAGGTAAAGATACAACGTGCGCGCCAGTCCTCAGCGGGACAGGAAGTGGAGGTAAAGATACACCGTGCCAGTCCTCAGCGGGACAGGAAGTGGAGGTAAATATACACCGCGCCAGTCCTCACCGGGACAGGAAGTGCAGGTAAAGATACACCGCGCCAGTCCTCACCGGGACAGGAAGTGCAGGTAAAGATACACCGCGCCGGTCCTCACCGGGACAGGAAGTGCAGGTAAAGATACACCGCGCCAGTCCTCACCGGGACAGGAAGTGCAGGTAAAGATACACCGCGCCAGTCCTCACCGGGACAGGAAGTGGAGGTAAAGATACACCGCGCCAGTCCTCACCGGGACAGGAAGTGCAGGTAAAGATACACCGCGCCGGTCCTCACCGGGACAGGAAGTGGAGGTAAAGATACACCGCGCCAATTATCACTAGGTGTTACTTATATCAGAGTGTCAGCTCTGCGGACGGGGTATAAAGTATCAGAGTGTCAGCTCCTCAGCGGGACGGGGTATGTATCAGAGTGTCAGCTCTGCGGACGGGGAATGTATCAAAGAGTGTCAGCTCTGCTCACGGGGAATGTAAGTCAGAGTGTCAGCTCTGCAGACGGGGAATGTATCATAGTGTCAGCTCTGCGGACGAGGCATGTATCAGAGTGTCAGCTCTGCAAGACGGGGAATGTATCAGAGTGTCAGCTCTGCGGACGGAGGCATGTGTCAAGTGTCAGCTCTGCGGACGAGGCATGTATCAGAGTGTCAGGCTCTGCGGACGAGGCAGGTGTATCAGTGTCAGCTCTGCGGACGGGGAATGTACCAGAGTGTCAGCTCTGCGGACGGGGAATGTATCAGAGTGTCAGCTCTGCGGACGGGGAATGTATATCAGAGTGTCAGCTCTGCGGACGGGGAATGTATCAGAGTGTCAGCTCTGCGGACGGGGAATGTATCAGAGTGTCAGCTCTGCGGACGGGGTATGTATCAGAGTGTCAGCTCTGCGGACGAGGCATGTATCAGTGCGTCAGCTCTGCGGACGGGGAATGTACCAGAGTGTCAGCTCTGCGGACGGGGAATGTATCAGAGTGTCAGCTCTGCGGACGGGGAATGTATCAGAGTGTCAGCTCTGCGGACGGGGAATGTATCAGAGTGTCAGCTCTGCGGACGGGGAATGTACCAGAGTGTCAGCTCTGCAGACGGGGAATGTATCAGAGTGTCAGCTCTGCGGACGGGGAATGTATCAGAGTGTCAGCTCTGCGGACGGGGAATGTATCAGAGTGTCAGCTCTGCGGACGGGGTATGTGTCAGCTCTGCGGACGGGGTGTGTATCAGAGTGTCAGCTCTGCGGATGGGGTGTGTATCAGAGTGTCAGCTCTGTGGACAAATCTCCTACCTTCCACCCTGCGGAGCTGTTGAAGTCACCCTTGTCCTTGAAGTATGGTATGTCATACATCGGTATGTACTGGAGTGTCAGCTCCTGGGACGAGGTATATATTAAGAGTGTCGGCTCTGTGGGTGAGGTGTGTGTTGAACTGTGCGCTCTGTGGGAAATGTATTATATCAGAGTGTCAGCTCCTGGGACGAGGTATATATTAAGTGTCAGCTCTGTGGGTGGGGGTGTGTTTGAAGTGTGCACTCTGTGGGCAGTGTATTATATCAGAGTGTCAGCTCCTGGGACGAGGTGCAGGTGAAACTCGAAAAATGAGACTCTGGTGCATTCATTCATTTATTCATTCATTGATTTCAGTGCAGCAGCATAAAAGGTGACACTAATATATGAGACTCATTCCATGCAAAGCAAGATAGTTCCAGCCGTGATTTGTCATCATTGTGATGATTATGACTTACAGCTCATGAAAACCCCAAATCCACAATCTCAGAAAATGAGAATATTCCATGCAATCAATAAAACACGGATTGTACATAGAACAATATCGCACCCTCTGAGAAGTAGAAGCTGCATATGTACTCAGTACTTGGTTGGGGCCCCTTTTGCAGCAATTACTGCCTCAATGCGGCGTGGCATGGAAGCTATCAGCCTGTGGCACTGCTGAGGTGTTATGGAAGACCAGGATGCTTCAATAGCGGCCTTCAGCTCTTCTGCATTGTTCGGTCTCATGTCTCTCATCTTTCTCTTGGCAATGCCCCATAGATTCTCTATGGGGTTCAGGTCAGGCGAGTTTGCTGGCCAATCAAGCACAGTAATCCCACGGTCATTGAACCAGGTTTTGGTGCTTTTGGCAGTGTGGGCGGAGCCAAGTCCTGCTGGAAAATGAAGTCAGCGTCCCCATAAAGCTGGTCTGTGGAAGGAAGCATGAAGTGCTCCAAAATCTCCTGGTAGACGGCTGCGTTGTCCCTGGACTTAATGAAGCACAGTGGACCAACACCAGCAGATGACATGGCTCCCCAAATCAACACAGACTGTGGAAACTTCACACTGGACTTCAAGCTCTTGCAGTGTGTGCCTCTCCATTCTTCCTCCATACTCGGGGTCCTTGGGCCTCTCCATTCTTCCTCCGTACTCGGGGTCCTTGGGCCCCTCCATTCTTCCTCCATACTCGGGGTCCTTGTGCCTCTCCATTCTTCCTCCATACTCGGGGTCCTTGGGCCTCTCCATTCTTCCTCCATACTCGGGGTCCTTGGGCCTCTCCATTCTTCCTCCATACTCGGGGTCCTTGGGCCTCTCCATTCTTCCTCCATACTCGGGGTCCTTGGGCCTCTCCATTCTTCCTCCATACTTGGGGTCCTTGGGCCACTCCATTCTTCCTCCATACTTGGGGTCCTTGGGCCTCTCCATTCTTCCTCCATACTTGGGGTCCTTGTGCCTCTCCATTCCTCCTCCATACTCGGGGTCCTTGGGCCTCTCCATTCTTCCTCCATACTCGGGGTCCTTGGGCCTCTCCATTCTTCCTCCATACTCGGGGTCCTTGGTTTCCAAATGAGATGTAAAAGTTGCTCTCATCAGAAAAGAGGACTTTGGACCACTGAGGGCAGACCAGGACTGTTTTTCTTTAGCCCAGGTAAGACACTTCTGACGTTGTTTGTTGTTCAGGAGCAGCTTGACAAGAGGAATACGACATTTTGAAGCCCATGTTCCAGGATCCGTCTGTGTGTGGTGGCTCTTGATGCACTGACTCCAGCCTCAGTCCACTCCTTGTGAAAGTCCCCAACACTTCTGAATGGCCTTTTCCTGACAATCCTCTCCAGGCTGCGGTCATCCCTGCTGCTTGTGCACCTTTTTCTTCCACACTTTTTCCCTTTTCCCACATAACTTTCTATTAAATTGTGCTTTGATACAGCACTTTGGGAACATCCAACTTCTTCTGCAATGACCTCCTTATGGAGGGTGTCAGTGATGGTGTCAGGTCAGCAGTCTTTCCCTCCTTATGGAGGGTGTCAGTGATGGTGTCAGGTCAGCAGTCTTTCCCATGATTGTGATTCCTACTGAACCAGACTGAGAGACCATTGAAAGGCTCAGGAACCCTTTGCAGGTGTTATGGCTGAATGAGCTGATTAAGAGTGGGACACTTTGAGCCGAGATTATTCCACCTTTTCACAATATTCTCATTTTCTGAGTTTTCACCTGTAATGTATTAGAGTGTCAGCTCTGTGGGCGTCAGTGTGTGTCGTATATTAAAGTGTCAGCTCCTGGGCCGAGGTCTTGCCTTCATGCCAGCGGAGCTGTTGGAGTCGCCCTTGTCCTTGAAGTACGGTACACATTAGAGTGTCAGCTCAGTAGGTGCGGTATGTTGTATTTTAGAGTGTCAGCTCCTGGGCCGAGTCCCCCGAGATTACCTTCCATCCTACAAAGCTGTTTGGGTTCTTGAAGTACGGTATATATGAGAGTGTCAGCTCCTGGGGCGAAGTATGTATCGGAGTGTCAGCTCTGTGGGTGCGGTATGTTGTATATTAGAGTGTCAGCTCCTGGGCCGAGGTCTTACCTTCCACCCTGTGGAGCTGTTGGAGTCGCCCTTTAAGTAGGGAATATATTAGAGTGTCAGCTCCTGGGCCGAGGTCTTACCTTCCACTCTGCGGAGCTGTTGGAGTCGCCCTTGAAGTAGGGGATAGGTTACATTAGAGTGTCAGCTCCTGGGCCGAGTCTTACCTTCCACCCTGTGTCGGAGCTGTAGGAGTCCGTCCTTGAAGTAGGGCAATAAGTTATAGAGTGTCAGCTCCTGGCCGAGGTCTTACCTTCCACCCTGTGAGCTGTTGGAGTCGCCCTTGAAGTAGGGAATATATTAGAGTGTCAGCTCCTGGCCGAGGTCTTACCTTCCACCCTGTGGAGCTGTTGGAGTCGCCCTTGTCCCTGAAGTAGGGAAATAGTTAGAGTTCCTGGGCCGAGATCTTACCTTCCACCCACAGCGGAGCTGTTGGAGTCGCGCCTTGAAGTAGGGGATAGGTTACATTAGAGTGTCAGCTCCTGGGCGAAGTATGTATCGGAGTGTCAGCTCTGTGGGTGCGGTATGTTGTATATTAGAGTGTCAGCTCCTGGGCCAAGGTCTTATTACCTTCCACCCGGTGGAGCTGTTGGAGTCGCCCTTGAAGTAGGGGATAGGTTACATTAGAGTGTCAGCTCCTGGGCCGAGATCTTACCTTCCACCTGGCGGAGCTGTTGGAGTCGCCCTTGTCCCTGAAGTAGGGAATATATTAGATTGTCAGCTCCTGGGCCGAGGTCTTACCTTCCACCCTGTGGAGCTGTTGAGTCGCCCTTGTCCCTGAAGTAGGGAATAGGTTAGAGTTCCTGGGCCGAGATCTTACCTTCCACCCAGCGGAGCTGTTGGAGTCGCCCTTGAAGTAGGGGATAGGTTACATTAGAGTGCCAGCTCCTGGGCCAAGGTCTTACCTTCCACCCGGTGGAGCTGTTGAAGTCGCCCTTGAAGTAGGGGATAGGTTACATTTAGAGTGTCAGCTCCTGGGCCGAGATCTTACCTTCCACCCCTGAGGAGCTGTTGGAGTCGCCCTTGTCCTTGAAGTAGGGAATATTAGAGTGTCAGCTCCTGGGCTGAGATCTTACCTTCCACCTGGCGGAGCTGTTGGAGTCGCCCTTGTCCCTGAAGTAGGGAATATATTAGAGTGTCAGCTCCTGGGCCGAGATCTTACCTTCCACCCGGCGGAGCTGTTGGAGTCGCCCTTGTCCTTGAAGTAGGGAATATATTAGAGTGTCAGCTCCTGGGCTGAGATCTTACCTTCCACCTGGCGGAGCTGTTGGAGTCGCCCTTGGTCCCTGAAGTAGGGAATATATTAGAGTGTCAGCTCCTGGGCCGAGATCTTACCTTCCACCCGGCGGAGCTGTTGGAGTCGCCCTTGTCCTTGAAGTAGGAATGGTGCGCACCAATCCAGTCGTAGATCTGGGCCAGGGTCAGCCTCTTCTCCGGGGAGCTCTCGATGGCCTGGCTGATGAGCTCGGCGTAGGATTGGTTCCCCCAGGCGTTCCTCCTGGATCCTCCCTTCCTGGGGGTCACTCCGGGGCCCCCGGGGCTCTCACTAGCAGGGGCGGGGCCTCGGCTCCTTCGGCTCGCCCCTCCTCCGCGGTGGGGTCCCCGCAGGCTGTACCACGGGACAGTTCGGGCCTGGGAAGGGGCCATGTGCAGGACCGGGGCCTGGCCTGGGGCTCGAAGTCCGGGTCAATGTCCACCGGGGGCGACTCTGCTCCCTCCATGTTCCCTGGGGCTCCTCAGGGGGGACACAGCCCCGCCCACCTCCCTCGGGCCCCGCCCCCCGCCCGGTACCCTGCGCACTCTCTCTCACTTTATCTCTTTTCTTTTCTTCTCCACAAAACTTCCCGCTGACTGTTTCTGTTTACTCGAGTCGGGAGGGGGGGGCGCGCTGTGCGTGGTGACGTTGTCGGGCGGGCCGAGCGGCACCATGGAGGCGTAGTCCAGGGAGAGTAGGCGGAGGCGGGAGGAGAGGGGCAGGGGACTACAATTCCCAGGAGGCGTCCCGGCTGTGAGCAGTAGGGGGCGGGTACATCTCTCCCGGCATGCCGTGCAGCGAACTGCGCTCTGACCGGCCGGGTTATGTAATGACAGATGGGGGGGGGGGCAGAGACGAGGGCCCAGTGTGAAGGGGGGGCACAGAGAGTGGGCCCAGTGTGAGGGAGGGGAGGGGGACAACAGAGAGGGGCCCAGTGTGAGGGAGGGGAGGGGGACACAGAGAGGGGCCCAGTGAGAGGGAGGGGAGGGGACACAGAGAGGGGCCCAGTGTGAGGGGGGGGCACAGAGAGGGGCCCAGTGTGAGGGGGGGGGGGGGACAGAGTGAGGGAGGGGCCCAGTGAGCCCAGGAGGGGATGGGAATGGGAGGGGAGGGGACCCCCCCACACAGAGAGGGGCCCAGTGTGAGGGGGGGGCACAGAGAGGGGGGCCCAGTGTGAGTGAGGAGGGACACAGAGAGGGGCCCAGTGTGAGGGGGGGGCACAGAGAGGAGAGGGCCCAGTGTGAGGGGGGGGTGTGGTTTACACAGAGAGGGGCCCAGTGTGAGGGGGGGCACAGAGAGGGGGGCCCAGTGTGAGGAGGGGGACACAGAGAGGGGCCCAGTGTGAGGGGGGGGGGGGGGTGAGCCTGAACACTGACACCGGGTGGGTACAGAGAGGGGCCCAGTGTGAGGGGGGGGCACAGAGAGGGGCCCAGTGTGAGGGGGGGGCACAGAGAGGGGCCCAGTGTGAGGGGAGGGGGGGGGCAGAGAGGAGCCCAGTGTGAGGGAGGTGGACGTGGGGGGGGGGGGGACACAGAGAAAGGTACAATATGGGGGGCAGAGGGGCCATGAAGGTACAATGTGGGGGGAGGGGAGAACAGAGGGACCAACTAGTCCCATTTGGGGCCCCCACGCTGATATGGTGCTGCTTCCACACAGACGGCTCCATGCTCGGTGCCCCTCCCCCCCAGTCTGGCTTTGGTGGGGACTATCTGGCTGTGCTGGGTCTTGTAGTCCTCCTAGGATGGGGGTGTCAGTGGAGTACGTTGTTGGCATCCAGATGGTGTAATATCGTTCATACAGATTGTATATATATTCCACTCACATGGCTCCAGAAGAAACCACGGTCCTCACCTAACGCGTTTCGTCCCCTCCCACTGGGCATCCTCAGAGGTATAGCTGACCGCCCATAGGAATGAATGAGGCCAGGGTGTCCATGTGTGGGGCCCCAACTGGTACATTTGTGTGAGCACTAAGGGGGGGGGTACACTGAACATGTCCCATGCAGGAGGGATCTGTGGGGGTTACACTGTGGGGTGGGGGAGGGGCCATAAAGGACAACTGGACCTGTGGCTGCGCTATGGATCGTTCGTATTTACAGGATGTGATTTTCAAAACCACCCCCCACTGACCTCTGTAGCTGCTCTCACTGGGGAGGAATTCATCCTCAAATGTCACAGAAGAAGCGATGAACTTCACTCCTTCCCCGTGTGCAGCCAATGTGATCGTCCAATAAATGTCTGAGTTCTGATTACGTCTCCTGAGGAGTTCATTCTGATTTGTGGGGAGGTGGGCGGAGTCTCAGGAAGGTGGGTGGAGCAATGAAGATTTGGGGGATCTGGGAGAAATATTGTTTCATAAAGTTCAGCCTAATGTCCCCCCATCCTAATAAAACCCGCCCCCCCCCCCCATTTCCTGTCCAATGACCCCCCCTGATAAGCATTCTCACTGGGCAGCAGGAAAGGATCTTAGAGCAAAAACTCCATTTATTTACCCCCCCCCAGTATTTTGTAATTATATACCCCATACTTTCCTTCTAGATGTCCGGGGGTGTCACTGACACAGGAAGTACCCCCCCTCACCAATCAACATACTCACCCATAACACCCCCAGCAACCTATACTCAACAATAACCCCACCCCCTGCAACCTATACTCACCCATCACCCCCCCCCCACACACACAACACACACATCCCTGCATCCTATACTCAAACCATAACCCCCCCACACACCACACTAATCAACCTATACTCACCCATAAACCCCCCCCCACACACACAACAAATTAAAAACCCCCTGAATCAACAAACACCCAACCACCCCCCAACAAACCACCCCCCCCAAACACAACAATCAACCCCAACTCACCCCTCCCCCCCCACACCCAATCTTATACTCAACCCACAATTCCCCCATTAATAACTCACACCATTACCACCCCCCCCCCATTAATATACCACCCATACCCCCCCAAATTATACCATAAATAAAACCATACCCCCCCAAACAATGATACCCCAACAAAATATACAAATCCCCCATTATAAATAAAACTCACCCATAAACAAAAAAAACCAATTACCCTAAATACTCACCCATAAAAAATAAAAAACTAATTATGATAATAATCAAACCCCATACCCAAATCCATTATGATATACTCACCCATACCCCCCCCCCCAATTATGGATAAACTCACATAATAAAATACATACCAATGATAAACAACCCAATACCCCCCCCAAAAATTGAAATACTAACCCAATAAAACCCCCCCCCAGTATGATATACTCACCCAAACCCCCCCCATATGATATAACTCCCCAAAAACCCCCCATATAATTACTTACAAAAAAAAAACCCAATACACACCCATTCCTATATAAAATATATATAAATATAACCCAGTAAATATAAAAAAAAAACCACCCCCCAAATTAAAAAAAAAAAAAATACCCAAAAAAAAAAAATTAAAAAAACCCATACCCCCAAATTAATAAAAAAAAAAAAATTATGATATACTTCAAATATCCCCAATACAATTAAAAATACAAAAAACAAAAACCATAAAAAACCATTACATAATACCACTTCCATACCCCCAACCCCAATAATATATACTCACCCATAACCCCCCCCATTATGAATACCACCCATAACACCCCCCCCATAACATTATTCTCTACTATATTACATAACACCCCCCCCCCATTAATGATATACTTCACCCATACCCCCAACATTATGATAAACTTACCCAACCAACCCCCCATAATTTAAAATACTTACACCCACCCATACCCCCCTCCCAAATGATATACTCACCATATAACCCCCCCCAAATAACACCAAATCATTATCCAACCATAAAAACCCTTTACCATAAAACAACCCATCCATTTGATCCTCCCAATATTATATACTCACCATTTTTCCTTCCACCCCCCCATTATGATATACTCACCCATCCCCCCCAAAACAAACTGAAATACCAAAAACCAAACAATTTTAAATAAATGACAATAAAAAATCCATACCCCCCCCCCCATTATGAAAAAAATACACTACACCAAACCCCCCCCCCAAACATGAAATACTCACCCATACCCCCCCCCCCCATATGATATAAACTCAACCCATAAACCCCCCCCTCACATATACCTCACCCATACACCCCCCCCCCCTTATATATACTAATCACATACCCCATAAACCCCAAAACCCCCCATTAATGAATACTCACACACCCCCCCCCCCCCATTAAATATACTCACCCAAAACAACCCACACACCCCCCATTAAATATACCTCACCATTTACCCCCCCCCCCCCAAAAATATCACTCACCCAACCCCCCCCCCCAACCAATTACACCAATCAAACAATAACTCATAATACCCAAACCCCCACAATCCAAATCAACCTACTTCAATTAAACCCCCCCCCACACCAAAACCCTTAAATAACCCCCCCCCATCCAAACAACCTTAAAACTCACCCATAACCCCCCCCCACCCTCCATAACTCACACCCAAAAACCCCCCAATTATTAAATATACTACACACCAATACCCCCCCCGCCCCCAATTATGATATACTCACCCATACCCCCCCCCCATTATGAATACTCACCACATTTTATGTTAAATTTATGATATACCAATTACCCCCCCCCAATTCTATACCTATACTCAAAAAAATTGGGGGTTAATATACTACCCATACTAAAACCCCCATATACTTCACCCATAACCACCATGAAAATGATATACTCACAAACCCCAATCCCCCCATTATGAATACTCACCCATACAAAAAAAAAATTATGATAAACACCCAACATACCATATTAACATAATTATAATCACATCATACCCCCCCAATTATGATCATACTAACCCATTCGCCACCCATTATGATATACAAACACCCCATATTAATGAATACTCACCCATCACCCCCCCATATTATGATATACTCACCCATACCCCCCACCATAATGATTAACTCATACCCAAACCCGCACCCCCCCCCCATTATTAATCAATACTCTCACCCATACCCCCCCCATTATGATATACTCACCCATACCCCCCCCCCAATTTAAAAATAAACACCCATACACCCCCCAGTATATATAAGACCCATAAAACCCCCCCCATTATGAATACAAACCATAATTAATATACTCACCCCATACCCCCCTCCCCAAATTATGATTACCCCCAACAAACCTACCCCCCCACCACCCATATACCCCCCCCATTATGAAATACTCAAATAAAGATAACCTCCCCATTATGAAAATATACTCTTACCCAATCCCCCAAAAATTATGATATACCTCACCCAAACCCCCCCCCAAAAGATATACTCACACCCATACCCCCCCCCCAAATTATGATATACTCACCCAACCCCCCCCCATTATGATATACTCACCCCTCATACACCCCCCCCCCATTATG